AGCAGGACATAAAAACAAATCAAAACAAACTCAAGTGATAGTGACCTGGAAGATTCCTCCCAACTGGCCAGCTTATATATTGCTAGAAGGTACTATGCAGGCTAGTAGGCAGAAAAAGTTGTCAGCAATCTTACTCAGCTGTGAAGTCTGTGGGCCACCATAATGACTGACCTAACTAGATAAGTTCATTGGTGCAAAAGTGCCAGGAATGTTATGGTTGTAAACCATGGCTTTGTAATTGGATTTAAAATTCATTTCACAGAAGGACTTATGCCTGGCCTAGTATCCATGGCTGGGGAGGTCACAGGCACTAGGGGAAAACCTATTTCTACTACTTTGCTAAAATAGGCATAGTATCAAATCACCTTCTAAATACTTATCATTACACCCACATATCAGTATAATTTTTACCATGCATCAGAGGAACTCCCTTTTGCAGTGGATGGAGAATAACGCAGAGACTCACAAGAGGACAAGGTTCAGAGAAGCAGTGACTATGGTGTGGTCATCCCTAAATAGGAGAATGATATTCCATTCTCTCCCCACCCAAGGCACAGAGGATATTATGAAAGAGGGGCAGAAAGATTGTAAGAGCTAGAGTTTAGGAGGACTGCTGCAAAACTGTGTCTTCAGGACATGACAAAGCCATTGCATTCATCAACCCACAGCAGCTGTGGTTGCCTACCTAAGACATGCACAGAATTAAGACAATGGACATTCCAGCAGGGATTGTGAAAGGCCTCATCAGTTCCCCACATCTAGCTTAAGAACTATTGGCAGGTGATGACTTTTAGGGGAGGGGCAGTTGGTTTCTTTAGCATGTGGCTTCTGATAGGTTTCCCAAGCTCCAGTAGATGTCCCCACAATCATGACTCTGCTGATCAAAAATATAGAGGACATGAGGTTAGGAGAGGCATGTTGGGTATCCTGTAAGAAAGTGGACCTGAGAGTGGAGTGTAGATATAATTGAAAGATATTGTATACATGTATGAAATAACCAACAGATAAACTTGAAAAAAATACTTGTCTAATCTGAAGTTCTGTTCCCTAAGTAATCTCAGAAGAGGCCAAGAGATTTGTTTAACAGGAATTGCAAAATGGACTTATTAATTAAAACAAAACAAAACAAAACAAAACAAAACAAAACAAAACAATCCAGATTCCGGGATGAAACCTGAGAGATCATAGGGATAGAACAAGCTAGCCACAACTTCTTACCACCAGAAAATCCTGAGCCCAATAGAGATATACTTCCTGAATACTCATGCCTATATACCATTCTGGCCCTGCATCTTACTTCCTCTCTCCGTCCAACTACATCACTTCATATTTCTGCAAGCTCTATCACTTCATCTCTGTCTTTAGAGACCTCCATACCTTTATGATTAACTAGTTTTGGAATTAAAGGTGTGTGCCACCATGTCTGTCTCTGTTCCAAGTGTAGCCTTGAACTCACAGAGATCCAGATGAATCTCTGCCTTCCAAATGCTAGGATTAAAGGTATGTGCCACCAGTAGCTGTCCTCTGTATTTAATATGGTCGCTGGCTTTATCCTCTGACCTTCAGGCAAGGTTTATTTCTTAGAGCACAAATACAATATTACCACATACTTTTGTCTATACTTCTTGTAGAGTGGAAAGAACGCCAATAAATTCAATTTGCTTTGGAGCAACACAGTTCAGCTGAGAGCTATTGGGATGAGGACACAGAAGCTTCCAGTCTGAGGAAACAGGACCAGCTGAGGAACTGGTGAGGTGAGATAGCTGTGGCTTGTTTCCTCAGATTGGAAGCTTCTGTGTCCTCATCCCAATAGCTCTCAGCTGAACTGTGTTGCTCCAAAGCCTGAAAGCTTAACCAGCCAAATGCTTCTAGTTTCTGGTCCTCACGCCTTATATATCTTTTTGCTTTCTACCACCACTCCCTGGGATTAAAGGCTGGCTTTCTGGGATTAAAGGCGTGTGCCACCACTGCCACACTCTTGCAATGGCTCTAATAGCTCTGACCCCCGGGCAACTTTATTTATTAAAATACAATCAAAATCACATTTCAGTATAATTAGATTACCACCACACAGAATATTTGTGACGAAGTCTTAAGTTACATGAGCAGAAATTCCAAAACTAACCAATTATAATCAAAGAAATCTCCACAATGACATTATGTTAAATGCCTATTTGGACTCTCCACTCAATATAAATATGACAAAGGGCTTACAATGAGGGTCTGTGCCCTCTGTGCCTGCCATTAATATGTCAAATTCCTGATAATATCTACTATGTATCTTATATTATCTTTATTTAGCCTCTAATGATTGTTTAGTTGCATATATTTAGGTAGTATAATGTAGTATTTGGCACAGGTATTTATATATAATGTTTCATAATGAAATCAAGGTAATTCACACTATCTTACCAATACTTTTTCTGTGCCTCGATCCTTAAATCTTTTCTTATCTGGTTTTTCTTTAAATATGTAAAAAGTTATTTTAGACTATAGCTATCTTTTTGTGCTATATATACTATAATGAATTTCTTTCTCTGTTGTGTCTTAGTTATTCTTTTTTTAATTTAATTTTATTTTATTTTACAATACGATTCGGTTCTACATATCAGCCACGGATGCCCCCCTTCCTGCCCCCCTCCCCTTCCCCCCACCCCACCCCCCATTTCCACCTCCTCCAGGGCAAAACCTCCCCCAATGGCTGAGGTCCACCTCTTGGACTCAGTCCAGGCAGGTCCAGTCGCCTCCTCCCAGGCCGAGCCAAGTGTCCCTGCATAATCCCCAGATTTCCAACAGCCAACTCATGCACTAAGCACAGGACCCAGTCCCACTGCCTGGATGCCTCCCAAACAGATCAAACCAATCGACTGTCTCACTCATTCAGAGGGCCTGATCCAGTTGGGGGCCCCTCAGCCATTGGGTCATAGTTCATGTGTTTCCAATCGTTTGGCTATTTGTCCCTGTGCTTTTTCACACCTTGGTCTCAACAATTCTTGCTCATATAAACCCTCCTCTTTCTCACTAAATAGACTCCCGGAGCTCCACCTGGGGCCAACCATGGATCTCTACATTCAGATCTCTCAGACATTGGATGGGGTTTCCAGCACAATAATTAGGGTATTTGGCCATCCCATCACCAGAGTAGGTCAGTTCGGGCTGTCTCTCAACCATTGACAGCAGTCTATTGTGGGGGTATCTTTGTGGATTTCTGGGGACCTCTCTAGCACTTTGCTTCTTCCTATTCTCATGTGGTCTTCATTTACCATTGTCTGCTATTCCTTGTTCTCCCTCACTGTTCTTGATTCAGCTGGGATCTCCTGCTCCCCCAAGCTCTCTTTCCCTCGACCTTCGCCCTTCATTACCCCCACTCGTGTCCAGGTTGTTCACGAAGATCTCATCCATTTCTCTGTCATTAGTTGATCTTCGTGTCTTTCTTGGGGTCCTTTTTTTCCAGGTAGCCTCCCTGGTGATGTGAGTAGCAGTCCAGTCATCCTTGTTCCACATCTAGTATCCTCCTATGAGTGAGTACATACCATGTTTGTGTTTCTGAGCCTGGGTTACCTCACTCAGGATGACTTTTTCTGTCTTAGTCCTTCTTATCTCATCACTGATAATGTGTTTTTAAGTGTCAATATCAGTGACACAAAATGGAATTCTGTGTGCATTAAGTAAGCTATTTTTTAAGACATGTTTATCAAGTATCTGCCAAGTGGAAAAATACAATGGTGTATGCTTTAAGAAAGATGCATAAGTCCAACTTTTAAAAGGTCCTAATATTTTAGAAAGTTGACCTAGAGTAGGATATAGGTACACATGTGAATAGTGCTACTGGTAAGATGTTGTAAGATGAGATGTGTTCCCATAGAATAAAACAGGAGACATTAAGGCAAATGAGTACCTATGAAGCTGGAAATACCCATAAAACATAGCTTTCTACCCTCAAAATGGTGTCCTTTCTCCTCTGATTCCTAATCTACTTACATCCAACGAAACTTTTTTCCTTAAGCAGATTACAGTTGTTGAACATGTTTTTTAAATTTACCCTTCCTATTTTTCATTTTTCTTCAAGAAACACTGTTAATCTACACAAAGGTGTAGTGAGAACTTCATGTACATACCCTTGAGCTAACCTAAGTGATATACTATGATGCTCTTGAAGTCAACCATGTACTTCTATCCAATTAAATACTTCCCTTTTCTTAAAAATATATCTAGTAATTCTAAATAGGTACTTCCGTTCCCATAGAACTTCCTCTGCATGCATCACCAATATTCACATTCCTGTGTATGTATATATACTTGTAGTAATTGCTTTATATTTTGAAACTTTATATGCACATTATATGTATCCAGAAATTAGCTTTTTCCTTTATATATTTTTCTCCACTACACTATCCAATATTTGCCTTTTTAGGTCTTTCTCTGTTTCTTAGACCTTTCCGAATTGTAGTATCTCCATGTACCATCTCTAGAAGTATCCAGCATCAGGTATTTATTGTTTTATTCAATTTATTTTAATGGGCCTCAATTCAGTGATATAACCTTTGTCCAATCACAGTGAAGCAGTATTCTACATTAGCAGTTCTCATACTGTGTTGAAATGAAGGATAAACTAAAGGTCTTCAGAACCTGTGCAAGATCAATTTGAGAATTTAATATCAAATACATTTTGAATGAAACTAAGGAATTGATATTGCTCACCAATTCCCAGGTGCTGCTGCGACTGTTGTGGTCCTATGTGTTCAAGTACCCCAACTTGCTTGCCGACAAACTGGGTCACTTTCAGTTTCTGTGAATAAAGGTCAGACTATTCAAGACCTCCATGTCTGTTTTCTTTCTCATAAGTCGGTTAAACTGACTAATGGAATTTCTTGAGTTTGTAACTGGGAGACTGAAAATAGTTAAAAGTAATCTGCTTCAACGACTGGTAGGCTACTTCAAAAAGAAATGGACATTAATCAACTTGAGTTTGTAGTATTGATAAAAGACTCTCCCATATATTCATTTCAAATTATATTTATTTTTAATTTAAAGAATATTTAAACAGTTTGAGAAGTTTTATGTGCATATATGTGGATGAATATTATTAGATGAGGATCACTGATGATAGATTTCCATGTATCTCAAATCCACAAAGAATCAATTCATTGATGTTTATCCATGGCTTCCTTTGCCCTTGTTCTGTAGGAAGAATAAGAGATAATTGACAATTGTAAAACATTGATATGAACCACTCTTTTCAATCGTGGGAAAATAGTGTACCTTACATCTGTCTGTATTTTCAACCAAAAATTGAACATATTTTCGTCTTGAAACTCAAACCCTCCCACATGGCCTGCAAGTGAGCTTCCAATGCCAACAGACATTGAAGAATAAGAAACTTTGCTAATGCTTGGTGGCCTTGGTCCCTTTGTTGCAAAGATCAGTAGCTGATAGACTACAGAAGTGTTAGTCAAGGACTCACTGTACTAGAACATGTCCTGCTCAGGGTCCTCTGAGCTGTGTAATATATCTTGGAATCCCTTTCCAGGTATTATAAAAGAAAGACTGCCTAGAGGTAGCTCCTTCTATTAGGCACTCACTCTCCCAATTCTATGTTTCCTTTGGCAGGGTCTGGACTTCTTGGAGGGTCTTTCCCTCTCCTGAATAGGTGGGCTCCAATAACTGAACTTGTCATAGCTTGGGTGAAGCAGAATGTGGTCATTAATAGCATGCATACACAATTTAGGGGCATGATGTATTAGAAAAAATGAAATTTCTCTGGCGGGAAGTAAAGTCCCATAGGTAAACTCACAGCATGCAGGATGATCTTCATCCCCTGATCCTCAACCTCATCTTCTCCTTTCTTCTCATATTCATAGTCATCATCTTGATTGTCCTCCTCCTCCTCCTCCTCCTCGTCCTCCTTCTTTTTTACATTCTTGCAGTCCTGGTCTTCTTCAGCTTCCTCCAGAACTACTTCGTTCTCCTGGTCACTATTGCAGACATACAAGTCCTCTTCAATATCAGGCCAGACTTCCTTGAGAACAGGCCAGATTTCATCGATATCAGGGCAGATGTCCTCCATAGCAGGCCAGATGTCTTCGATAGAATGCCAGGGTTCTTCCACATCAGGCCAGATGTCCACCATTGCAGGCCAGATGTCCTCGATAGACTGCCAGGGTTCCTCGACATCAGGCCAGATGTCCTCCATCGCAGGCCAGATGTCCTTGGTATAATGACAGGGTTCTTCTACATCAGGCCAGATGTCTTCCATAGCAGGCCAGATGTCCTCGATAGAATGCCAGGGTCCTCGACATCAGGCCAGATGTCCTCCATAGCAGGCCAGATGTCCTTGATGGAATGCCTGGATTCCTCGACATCAGGCCAGATGTCCTCGATTTCAGGCCAGAGGTCCTCTACAACAGGCCAGATATCCTTGATATAAGGCCAGACTTCCTCGGCATTAGGCCAGAAGTCCTCCACATCAGGCCAGGTTTCCTCTACTTCAGGCCAGATGTCCTTGACTTTATGCCAGATGTCCTCGACATCAGGCCAGATGTCCTTGATATCAGGCCAGACCTCTTCCACAGGAGTGCAGATCTCCTCAGTATCGGGCCATATCTCCTCCTGCCCCGGCTCTTCCCCCAGAATGGCTCTCGAGACTGCCTGTGAACCCAGACATC